TTTTTAATTTTTTTAATGTTTATTTATTTTTGAGAGAAAGAGTGTGAGCCAGGGAGGGTCAGAGAGAGAGAGGGAGATGCAGAATCCAAAGCAGGCTCCAGTCTCTGAGCTGTCAACCCAGATCCCGACTCAGGGCTCAAACTCATGAACTGTGAGATCATGACCTGAGCCGAAGTTAGACGCCCAACTGACAGAGACACCCAGGTGCCCTACAGAGATTGAGTTTTTAAAAATATAAATCATATTAAGTCACTTCCCTTATGACATCCCCTTATGTTTAGACTTAAATCAAAGTCCTTACTGTGGGCTATAATTTCTACCTGACCCGACCACTTTCCACAGCTCCAAGCATCTTGGTACATTTCCCTCCCCTCTGATGCAGGAGCCTTCCTTCTGTCTGTTGACTCCCAGAATTTGTTCATAGCCTACACTGAAGCAGGATTACATAATCCAGAATCTGTGTCCAGCAAATAAGATTAAGTAGTAATCAGATGAATGAAAGGGTGAATGAAAGGAATTCCAGTGTAGTTACCTTAAACAACTTCCTTTGTGTGTAGCATTTAGTAAGCCCTGTTGGCCCAAGAACAGAAATAAAAGCTTCAATTGAATGTTTAAAAAAGTATCCTGAGATTGATCACTCTAAAATCTATAACCACTTTTTATGAGGATAAGGAGAGAATCATTTTCATTGAGGTAAAATACATTGCAAATTGGACTTTTAAACCTTGTACTGTGTTACAAAAAGACAAATAATTCAACATTCAAAGTCTTGATTTTCCCAGAATCATGTCTTTTTTTTTTTTAATTTCCAGGAATATGGATATTATCAGTTCTATTTGCCACCTTATTCTTAACTCTCCATTTATTTGTCATTTAGGACATTGTTTTAATCATTTCAGAAAATTTCACTTCAGCTACTGGGACTGAATTAAAGAAAGTGGTTCTCCATTACTCTCTTCACTGAAGAGTCCTTAAGTTTCCCCAGTTATCCTGAGCAGAGTGTGCCTTCTGCTACAATAATGTCATTTTGCATGACAGGAACTAAATGATACTCAGATTGTTTTAAGTAAAATGATGGTTTCATCAATGATGAAACCAAAATTTCATCTCTGTTTTGCAACTCATTGAGACACTTACGTGTACACTATGGCAGTAATATTTCTCAATAATATGATCCTTTTCCTCCTTCAGGAATGGATTCTAAGGAATTCAATTTTACTTTTTAATAAATAGTGTTACAGTAATGTCACAACACAGCTTAATTCTATTGAAAATAAATTTATCTTTGAATCACTAGAAATAATTTATGACTCTTTTTAGGTCAGTGTAAATATTATTTCATTATTCCTTAAATTGAACAATACTATGAATTTAATATTATATCTGGCCAGGAGTACATGTTTGAACATTTTTATTGAGTGCTTACTTGGTAATGGTGATGTTATTTGTATTTTATTGGGAAGCTATGCTTAGTAGTGCAGAAAACCAATTTAGCCATAACATTTCATGTGGATCTGGTGCCAGCTAGTGGTACATTTTACATATTAAAATAACCAAAGATGGGCACCTAGGTGGCTCAGTCATTTGAGCATCTGACTCCTGTTTTGGCTCAGGTCCTGATCCCAGAGTCATGGGATTGAGCCCCTCATCGGGCACCATGCTTGGGATTCTCTCTTCTCTCTCTCTCTCTCTCTCTCCCCCTCTGGCCCTCTCCTCCACTTGCACTCTGTCTCTCTCTAAAACTAAAAGAAAGAAATTAAATAACCGAAGACAGCATGGTCTTATTGGGATCAAATTTGCTCAAACGATAAATAAATATATTTCAGCCATGTTGGTGAGAGCCAAGAGGATGTACATAACAATGGATATATGAAATGTTCTGTTGCATAATGCCTTGGCCAAACTTCTCTCCAGTCCTGTGCTCCTACAGTGTGATGATTCACATACTTACCATGCTTACTATATTAGAAGATCATCCCTTTGTCCTTGTATGTCACTATTTATCACAAAATTTATCACAATATCAGAAATAAATATTTATTAAATAAATAATAAATGGTCTGTCTTTCTCCAGGTCATGGAAAGGCATGCCCTTACTATTCCCACCCTTTAACATATAGAAGAAGATTTCTATGATCTGTCTTGCCATGAATCAATAAGAGCATAAAGAATTTCAGTGCCTTGTCTTCCTAATGGACCGAGCCTTACGGGTGGAAGGCTGCAAGGAAATGGAAATTGAATAGGAAATGAAAACACTTTAATATTACTTTAATAGTTTTAAACCATTATCTTTGTTATCTTTGTTATCAGTGGTTGTGAATTCTGGCTGCATATCAAACTCACTGGGGTCTCTTGAAAAATACTTATGCTGCTAGTAGCCACAGAAAAATTAAATCAGAATATCAGACATTGATCAGTATGGTGAGGCAGCTAAAGTGAGTTACTCAGTGTCAATTAGTAACTACATCCCACCCATGTGGGTGTTTTTCCTCCTTACTGCCAAGCAGATCACGGTTTATATATATGGTTTGCATATATAGATATGCAAACCAAATTTGTGATTTATTCATTTTTAGTGCAGTGTGTGTGTGTGCATGCACATGCATGTGTGTATTTGTGTGTCTGTAGTATATATATTTCACATGCAACCTATGTAGAAAAAAATCAAGAAAAAGGGCTTTCTTTACTTACTTTTTTATCCTTTACACTATTATGGTGGAGCTTCTTCCCAATGGCTGTGCTATCAGGAGAGGGTTCTTCAAGGAAATTCCTGCATGCAAGTCTTCATTAAACCAAAAGTGAAGCCCCTTGCCTGCCAGTGAGTGTGGAGAACAGCTTATTTCCAGAATCACATCACTGCTGCCTTTTTGCCCCGCCGCCTCCCGTAACATCCCAACTGTGCAAAAGTCTTTTTCCACATTCATAGTTTCTCTGTAATCACTTTCAAGTATATCTCATGTTTAACGATCTTACATTCTGTGGGAAAAAACAGAGAAACTGCACAGAGTTATACAACATGATACTTCTTATACTAGTACCAGAGATCCCTATATCTGGTACCAAAACTTGAAAGTTAGGGAAACACAACCCACAAAAGTGTTTCCTTCCAACCACTTCTAAAGACTAAGTGATATCTAAGGACCTTTCCAGATATAAGGTCCCCTGTATTCTTGAATCTCCTTTTTTCTCTTTTTCCTCCCACTACCTCTCCCTTCCCTCTCCCTCCCCCCTTCCTTTTCTCCCTCTCCTTCCTCCTCAGCCCCATCCTCTCCCTCTTTTCTTACTCCCTCCCTCAACCCCTCTCCTCCTCCAAATACAAAAGAAGGTTTACAGTTCTCTGTTTCTGTGCAACAGAACAGTAAGCCTGGCAAAATGATGCCCCTGAGATTTTCAGAGAACCAGTAACAGGCTGACCACAATCCTATTCTGTGTATGGAAAACAAATATTCCTAGTCCCCCAATTTCACGAATCATTGCAAAAAAAATTCACCTGCGATTTGAGCTGGGTCAACTAATTGTAGTTTTCCAACTTGGGAAGCAAACAGCCATGTGATAACAGTGTCACCTCACATAGAGGAGTACTCTGAGCAGGGCTGTCTGTAGGTACCAGCTGGGCCATCAGCCGCTTGGTCTCTGGACACCCTTGCTCCCAGTCTGTTGGATTAGCCCCTACTAATGTCAATACCCACTTTCAAAGGCAGAGTCTGTGCATTTCTTGTCCCTGTTTCTCTGGAATATACTCAAGAATGGTATCTGAAGTCCTTTATGTGCAAGGAGTGAGAGTGTACTATATTTTTTTTTACTATCTCCATTGATGGGTGGCTGTGGCCATTTAGAAAGAACTTCCAGAGACCTGTGTCATCACAGCTTTTGTTCAGGTTGTGGATGGCAAGTCATTAATGCATGAATCAAAACCTCATCCCCAAAGATTCCTTTGTCTCTCTGTTTTTCCATTTCCAGCCTGGATGTGTAAATACCACTGAAGTGGACATTAAGAAGTCATCCAGAATGAGAAACCCACATAAAACACGGAAGGTAAAAAACCCACCTTTGCTGTGCTGACCTCGGTAATAAGTAGCACGTAGCACACCATAGGAGGACGCCATAGGAGGATGCCAGTGATAAAAAATTTTCTCCCACTTCCTGGAATATATTCTAGCATCTTCCCTGCTCTTCCTTGTTCCTTGGCTGGAAGGAAATCTGGGAGCTCACACCCTGGTCTTCCGTCAGTCCATCTCTCCTGACCAAGTAGAACCATCACGGTTCTCCAGCATGTGGTTTTCCAGCATGCACAGGTCCCAAGGCGTGCAAGTGTCCCTGATGGGGCAAAGATGCCAAGGATACCTCCTCTCTCTATTGGAAAGAAGGGTCATCAACAGAGAAAGGCTTCTCTTTCAGGACCCGGAGGATGAGGAAACACAGATGGAGATTATCTTGGAAAAAGTGATGTTGATGAGAGAAGGGCATTTTCAGAGAAAATTCTGAAGGAAAAGAGACATCATAAAGATGCAGGACTGCAGAGTTTGCATGAGGACCCCCTTTTAACACCAGAATTTTGTGACACAACCGTAAGAGAGTGGTTGTTTGTTCATTTGGTATCTGTTACATGAGAGAATACATCACAAACAAACAAAAAGAAACCTATCCAGAATTCAGTGGCATTGTAAATAATCTCTTGAAAATATATAGCAATAGTACCTACATATTTATTTAAGTAACACAGACACACAGAAGGCATTTTTATTCATTTCGTGAAGAACACTTGATGCATATCAGAATTTCTGGCTTGAGGACATAGCCCATGACTGGCACCAATGAATTAAAGCATCCCAGAAGTTTAAGACCTTCCCTTTTATGGCTGTTTCCTTATGTAGCATTAGGGCTTTCCAGGGTGTATGTCCCTGCTATAGGCACTAAACACTTTTTTTTTTTAGTCGTATTTCTTGTGGTCTTTTTCCTCTATCCCTAGAAATATCATGTTCAGAGGCCCCAGTGTGATCCAAGTACTTTTTTATTTCTTTTAAGGCAGTTTACCTTGATGTCAGGATAAAGAAGCCAAGGGAAGAGTGCCACAAAACCTGCTCAGATGCAGTGCTCCAAAGCTGTGGCTCCCAGGGGCTCTCTGAGAGAAAGAGGCAAAGCCAGACCAAAGCAGGCCTGTTGGCCCTGCTCTCCTGTGACTGGCCTCATGCAGTTCCTTCCATCCTCTGCACACAGCACAGCCTGAGGGCACTAGGGACTGGCTTTGTGCTGTGGAACAGCATCCAGAGCTGCAATCAGCTCTCCAAAAGCACATTTAGCCACCTATCACTACTTCTGAATTTTGAAGAATTACTTTTCATGATACCTTACTTTGTGTCAAGTTTTCCCAACAGACACCAACTGAGATATGCTCTGACTCGGAAAGAGAAAGCATATGGATGGGCAGATAGGACTTAAAGATAAGAGAGCCATCATTTACACTGTCTTCTTAACGCCATCCGGTATTGTTATTTTAACAGTGTTTCACATGGCATCGTGCTTTCTGATCGCTTGAAAAGCATTACTTGGCATTGCTGTGCTTCACTTAACAATGGGAAAACACCAGGCCTGGCAAGGTGAAATGCTGTAGAGATGGAACTACTAAGCTCTATTTGTCTTGGTTGTGGTAGAGTTTCCTGTAAATCAATAATGGTAGAACCACAGGGCCTAAAGCAGAGCTCCCTAACTCGAAAATTACCAGAGAACAAAGACAGTTTTTGCCCTTGTTTTCATGCATGCCCTTGTTTTCAACAATTGGAGAATGCTGATTTTTTTTTCACCTTTGGATATATATAGCTTCTCATATTCAAACATGTTGAATTTTCTAGAATCTTCACAAGTGTCATTTTACATAGAAGGTTATAGGACTCTAAGCCACATACTGGTTTCTTTTTTAGAATTATGACCACTGCTACTTTAGCTCATATTTGGTTAGTAACTGGAATGAGCCATGCAATCAGTAGATTTAACAGGTCTCTATGCTAGGCTTTTACTGGCGTTTAGATGATAAATGGGACAGACGTGACCTTGCGCTCATAGCTCATGATCTAATGACAGTGTATACCTTGAGCAAGCAGACAAATGTCTATACATATATAGCCACATAATTGTGTTAAGTGGTATATATTAGTCTGCTCAAGCTACCATAACAAAATGCTCCAAATGGCTTACATAATGGGAATTTATTTACTCAGAGTTCTGGAGACTAGAAGTCCCAGATTAAGTTGGATTTTGGTGAGAGCTCTCTTCCTGGCTTATACACAGCTGTCTTCTTGCTCTGTCCTCACATGGCAGAGAGCTATGGTGTCTGTCCCTTTTATCAGGACAGCAGCTCCATGGGATTAGGGTCTTACCCAATGGCCTCCCTTAATTTTGATTACCTCCTTACAGTCTCCATCTCCATATACAGTGACATTGGGGATTAGGGCTCCAACATGAATTTCAAAGGGATGCAACTCAGTCCATAACATGTTATCGAGGGAATTTAAATGATTTGGGATTCTCAATTGCCACACCATTTTATTTTAAAAAATGGCAAAACATCAAACTATCCCACTCTCCTCTGAAGTGTTCACAGTTATGTCCTTGGGGAGCAGGCAAGTCTGTGGGATTGTAAGCCCTAGACACAAATGGCAGAGGCCAATCTGTCACCTCTGGAAACTGCCTTTGTCTTCCACAGCTAATTGGGCTGTGTCCTTTATTCCCTTAGCTGTGAGACCACGCTCTGTCTTAAACTACTGCTAGTAAGAAAGTGGAACCCCTGAATTATATTTAATCTTTGCAAACAGAGAGAGCTTAGCAGAGAGAGCTGCTGTTAATTTATTTGGCATTCAGCTGCGATAATATTTCTCACGATTATATAACAAGAATAAGGGACTCAGTAAATCCCTAAAGCAGTAATCTATCACATGTACCTAAATAATATCAGGGTTTGGAATGTTATATTTAATTGTTGAATTTCAAATATGTATATCAAATATGTGAAGAGAAGGCTTAGATGTATATCTTATTTGAGATATGTTTAAGTATTTAGGCAGTTTTTAAACCTGTCTTTACTAAAATAGAAAGAAGTAGGTGAAAATGTGTTTCCGTAAGTCTCTATGGATGATAAGGTAGCATAGTCAGAAAGAAGTCAGCCTAATCTAGGCAAATTTTAAGGGGCACTGTGTGCTGGCTTTCTTCAGCCTGCTTCTAAAATTTTAATTATAATAGCTCAGCCTGTGTATTAGTCAGGGTTCCCCAAAGGGGGCAGGAGAGAGTGACAGAGATAGAGAAAGATTTATTTTAAAAAATTGACTCACACAGTTGTAGAGGCTTGGCAAGCCCCAAATCTAATGAGGTAGACCAGTGGCTAGAGTCCCAGGGAAGAATTGTCATCTGCTGACAGAATTCCCTCTTGCCTGGATGAGGTCTATCTTTTTGTTCTTTTCAGGCCTTCAACTGATTGGATGAGGCCCACCCACATTATGGACAGCAATAGGCTTTATTCAAAGTCTGCTGATTTAAATTTTAATCTCACTCAAAATACATCCTCAAAGAAGCAACCAGAATAATGCTTGAACAAATATCTGAGCACTGTGGCCCAGCCAACCTGACACAAAAAATTAAGTATCACAGGATGAATCCTTCTCTACGACAATAACTAGAAGGGTCCGGGTCCTAGAACAACACAAAACCTGAGGAAAATTAAAAAAGCATTTGTGCATACATGACTGAACCCACACTTTGGATGACTTCCTATAACTCCAGAGCCCATATTTCAGAACAACAGTAAACTGTTTCTTGTCTCATTACTTTTCTTTTTTCTATCACCTTCATTTAGGCATTGAGGCACTTCATATTTTAGCTAATAGCTAATGTGCACATTCTGGAAGAACGGTTAGCAAATTCACAATTAAATGTCTAGTTTTTCTGCTTTTAATGCAGTGGCTACAGCTGTTTATACATAAAAATACTGGCATTTCCTCCTGTCTGTATGCATAATGTGGCATTTTAATCTTAACAGAAGAAACTACTCATGCCTTACAGTGACACAAAAGGGTTTTAAGTAAGAAGGACAATAGGGACGCCTGGGTGGCGCAGTCGGTTAAGCGTCCGACTTCAGCCAGGTCACGATCTCGCGGTCTGTGAGTTCGAGCCCCGCGTCGGGCTCTGGGCTGATGGCTCGGAGCCTGGAGCCTGTTTCCGATTCTGTGTCTCCCTCTCTCTCTGCCCCTCCCCCGTTCATGCTCTGTCTCTCTCTGTCCCAAAAAAAATAAATAAAAACGTTGAAAAAAAAAATTTAAAAAAAAAAAAAAAAGAAGGACAATAAACTTGCAGGCAATAGACACTCTGATCAAAATGGCTACAAGCAGGGAATATTCTAAAGCCTTGGGAGCCAGCAGGGGCAGAGTTAGCCCTGGGGGTGATGGACCCAGGGACTCATCAGGGTCTCTCTAACCCTGCCCTCTCTTCTCTGCCCTCTCTCTGCCAGGGCTTCCTGCACATGGCAGCAAATGTGGTCACAATCCATTTTCTAGCTGAGCTGAGCAATCCAGAAGAAAGAGAAATACCCCCTCCCTCCACCACCAGTCAGAAAAATCCCAGAGATTTCACTCAGTATAGACAAGCATAAAAACTGTCTGCACTCTTTCGTTTCTTGCTTTAAAAGTAGAGAATTTTCTTAGACCTCTTTCTTCTAAGACGTGAAGGGAAATCATATATGAACATATTTATGTAGAACATCAGATCTGTTTCATTTTATGAATAACTTACCCAGTATTCATTTGGATGATACCCTATATGAAGAAAGCTGGTCCAGGATCACATCAAAGCATCTTGATTAGTAACTAGCTTTGCTAACAACTCAAAATGGATCCCAATTAGTTAATTTTCTTTACCCCCAGCTGCAGACATTGAGACATTCAGACAACTTCATGTCCCTTTCTCTCCATTCCTACCTGTTGCTAGGTCTACTCCACCCACCCTAGGCCAATATTTTAACATGTTAACTTTAAAAAAAATTCAAAGCCTTTTACATTTCAGATGATCCTCATAACCTGTCTGCCAAACTCGTATCAATTTCCTTACCTCCTTTGTTCATAAAATAAGCCCTCTATGTAAAACTTCATTATTCGTGGCCATTTTCACTGTAACCAAGAATCAAAGTTAAAAGCTATCACTTTTAAAAGCCAGAAAATTAAAGGCACTCTGACTGATGAAAGACAGGACACCTGATGTTTACCTGCATGTAAGACAAAAAATGGAAACTCCACAGTAACCTCAGAGCCAGTAGCGAGACTGCTAGAAGACAGCTTTAAACACCACCTTCCAGTGATGTGATTCTTCCATGGACCTTCCTGAACCTATGTGCTGTGCATACATGCTGAAGTAATCATAGAAATAGAGAGACAGAAGATAATTTATACATCATTTTACTTCCATGACACCACAAAATGTAGTATTTTTTCCAGCAGTGTTTTAAATTGTTTTTAATCTTAACCCAAAAACTTACTGTTAAAATAGTCAGCTATCTTATCTTATAAGCATTTTTATATGAACTATAGATTCTTACTAAGTACTTCAATTAAACTAAGGTAAATAAGAATGTAATGTTTAAACCTTAGAGTCTTTTTATTTTCTTTATAAAAATTAATGTAATATACCTGAAAAATAATAAACATTGGACAATGTCTACATTTATTCTCTACAATTATTGAATAATTGGTGATCTTTTACTCACCCAATTTTAAAAAATCATCAACCTCAACTGTCACTTCAGAGTTCAAAGTTCAAATATGAGTATTAGTAGTTCACATAGGCCTTCTCTGTTTCTTCGGTGAAAATTAAGTCTCCTGTACACAGGCCCTATGCTCTTGTTTTTGTTTTCTTTCATGATACTTACCACAGTTTTAATCATATGTTTATTTGTGTGGTTATTTGTGTAACATGTTTCCCCTCCGCTAGGTTGTGAATTCCAATGGAGGAGGAAGCATACCTATCTTTGTTTATTTCTACATCCCTAGTGCTCAGCATTATCTCCAGCATACAGTAGGTGTCAATAAATGTTGAATGAATGGATGGAAGAACAGAAAAAATTAAGCCATTCAGTTCACTCCTGTTAATAATTAATTCACGGCATATGTGAATACAACCCATATTTGTTGGGTTGAATTGGATGCCCAGTGACAGAAATTAAGTTCTGAGAGGTTGACACTAGGTCAAGAGAGGGCAGATTGAAAGGTTTACCAAAGATAGTCTAAATTGGATAATTCAGGCAGGTTAAATCCAAGTGAGTATCTATTGAAGAAATGCTAAGAGCAAAGTAAGGAGGAGTTACAAGGGAAAAACCAAGTCCAAAGGTCCATGTATAGAGCTAACAGGTTAACATTAAGAAAAGATAGAGTCCGAGTAAAAACAGGTCAGGAACAAAACACAATAGAATGTAGAGATACTTGTATGGTTAGTGATGGGCCTGAAAATTGGCTCATTTAGACATCTGTATCTACCCTCTTCTGATTTCAAGAGTTTCTTCCAAACCTATCTGGTAACTTCAATTTTGTGGGGCTTGAGCGGTTTTATTATGTCCTTATCTTTCATCCTCTTGTCCAAACAAAAAGTGCTCAGTAGCTTATATTAAATCCTTTATTTTAAAGTCATAATTCTTTGATATGAAAGAAAAAGTTATTTGGCTTCTCCCTTGAGTTGATATGTGAGATGCCTCGCCTTCAGGTGAAGACTTTTTTTTGTCTCTGTAAGACTCTAAATATTTATTTGTACGTACTAAGCAGTGGGTCTTTCTCAAAAAAGAGTATTCCTAAACAGTAGATTTGGCCTTTTGACAAAATACTAAAGAAGCACTGGGGCATCAAGGATTCCAAAGATAGGAGAAAACTTTGCAGTCACCGATGCTTGCAAAAGGCACCCAAAGGCACCAAATGTCAAGGCCCGTGTGGTGAGGTAAATAACCCAATGCTGAGGTGGGAAATTTGGAGCACTCTGGGGTGTCCTTGATCACACTAGCAGAAACCAAATCAACAACAGAATTGTTGACGTAGTCTCTCTCTTCAGTATTCCATTTTGTAAAACTCAGATTCTTTTCATTTTCTTTTGGTTTATAAAGTGTTTAATCTATTCTATATCCACCCCTATTTTATTTTGAAATCAATATTTATTAAATCCTATACAGTGTTATTTCCCAACTTAGTACTCTCAGTCCATCCCCAAATTTTATTATCAGACTTACCGTGATCTTTCCATATAATCGATTATTCTGTCAAAGTTAATAATCTAACCACATATTTTTTCAAAGAGCTGGGCTTCTATTTTATATTCATAAGATATTTATGACAGCAGTGTCTTTGAATTTTAATGAGAAGCTTAATCAAATATGTAACAAAGCTTTGCGTTACCTTACTGAATATATAACACAAAATTACCTTTTAGAAAGTCTGTGGCTATAAATGATATTTTGTCCTAAAATATTTCTTTTTTACTTTAATATAGTCTGTCTATGGTTTACAAAATGACATTAGAAGTCACAGTCCTACCCACACACCCACACCAGAAACTAAACCTCCAACAGAAGATGAATTACAACAACAGGTGGGTCTACCTAAAAAATGATCTGTTAAGGGTTTACAGAGTAGTAGCTATGAAGACTACATGGTGAATCTTAATGACAAGGGTTCTCAAAGGTTATTTGAAGGGTTGACTGTTTCATAGCGAAGATTTGCAGTTAAAAGTTAGTGAAATCACTTATTTTAAGGTGTGTAGTCCCTCGAAAATGTATCAATATAGAGAGGTGTTTTTCACATCTCTTCACTCTTTAATTCCCCAAATCCTGCTTCCTCTAACCAATTCTTTAAAATGACCTACACTGATGATTAGGCGTCTCCATTTCAAGAGTTATTTTGTACTCTGGAGCTCTTCTTGAAGAACGGAAGACTAGAAGCTGGTGACCGTTGAGTCACGTGTTTTCTGTATCCAATCATGTGACATGATCTTCACGGAGAGCTTTTTCTTGCTTCTACCCCCCCCTGCTCCGCATAAGCCTCTGAAGTTTTCCTGAATTAACACTGGTGTGCAGTAATGGCATATGTCACTTGTTGTTTCGCAAATTGATAAATAGTTTGGTCCCCAAGTAATATTCGAGAGCAAACACGAGGGTCACTCATATCAAATAATAGTGAAATCTCTTGGTTTGGTTCAAAATAACTTTTTTATTCTTTTCCCTGATATTTTATTGTGATCTGGTTTAGCAATAGTGTAATGATACTTTCTCTAGTATATTTATAATAACCATGAATGGAAAGTAATTTAGAGAGTTTTGAAGTTTTCTACGTGTGATTATGTCCCTGTGAACATTTGTTATGAAATGTTGGTAAAATTATTCCCCAAACACCCTCTGATGCTTTCTTGGGCTAGTATTAGGAAGTAGGGTTTACTTTGAAATTATAGTACATGGGGCACCTGGGTGGCTCAGTCAGTTGAGCCACCGACTTCGGCTCAGGTCATGATCTCGCAGTTCGTGAGTTCGAGCCCCGTGTCGCGCTGTGTGCTGACAGCTCGGAGCCTGGAGCCTGCTTCAGATTCTGTGTCTCCCTCTCTCTCTGCCCCTCCCCCACTCATGCTCTGTCTCAGAAATAAACATTAAAAAAAAAAAAAGAAATTATAGTACAAATAACAAATATATTTATTTTCTGAATTTAATATTGGGGATTGATTCTGATTTGACTTTTCACTCTGAATAAATGTTTAAAATCTCTATAATGCTTTTAAAATAAAGTTATATTTTGTCAAAGTATGCAGAATGTTCAAATTCATTGCTGTTCTAAAGGGATATTGACTATGTTTTTTCAAACACTTTAATTTTCCGAGTCATCTCATTTGATTTTTCAGACTTTGAAATTTTACTGACTTGGAACATATTCTTATTTAGAATTGCCCAGTGTATCAGAATTTCGAGTTGAAAATTTTGAGAATGTCACTACTTACATAACTACTTCTTTAATTCTTTTCAGATTAAATATTGGCAAATACAGTTAGATAGACATCGGTTAAAAATGTCAAAAGTTGCTGATAGGTAAGTATTTCAAGATGCCCATATAAATAAAAAAAATTCATGTGATAGTTAACTGTGTTTAAAATGGGATCCTGTAAGAAATTGTATTTTTCCTTTTGCACATAGAAAACTTTCAAAAATGGGGTGCCTGGGTGGCTCAGTCGGTTAAGTGTCCAACTTCAGCTCAGGTCATGATCTCATGGTTTGTGAGTTCAAGCCCCACGTTGGGCTCTGTGCTGACAGCTCAGAGCCGAGAGCCTACTTTGGATTCTGTTTCTCCCTCTCTCTCTCTGCCCCTCTCCTGTTTGTGCTCTATCTCTCCCTGTCTCTCAAAAACAATAAACCTAGAAAGAAAGAAAGAAAGAAAGAAAGAAAGAAAGAAAGAAAGAAAGAAAGAAAGAAAAAAGAAAAAGAGGAAAGAAAGGAAAAGAGAAAAGAAGGAAAGGGAAGGAAAGGAGAGGAGAGGGGAGGGGAAGGGAGGGAAGGGAAGGAAACTTTCAGGGAACTCTTCTGTTATAGTTTAAATGAAAGAATGATCATTACTGTCTTCAGTCTCTCGAGATCCAGTCCTGCACAACTAGAATCAGATACAGAAGATATTTCCAAGGAGTTGAATTTTTCACTCCTGCTGAGAGAAATGAACCTTTCGATTTATCAAGTTACTTTTTGGCAACTTAGAGCCTCTCTGTAAATTCATCTTAACATTGACACTTTTCAGTTATTGCATGACTTCAGAATTTGAATTAAACACAGATTTTAGATATTTTCCTTTTCTTCATTTAAATCTGTTATTAGTGGCACACATGTTCTTCACTTTGGAGTATTGCCAAATCCCACCTCTCCAACTTCTTTCCTTTCCTCTCCATCTTTTTCTTTTCTTTCTTTATTTTTTTTAATACAAATTAAAAAAAAAAATGTTAGTGATTCCCCCCTTACCTAACTCCTGTAGATACTTTTAATAAAAATTTCCTTTACCCATTCTCCAAGTTTGCTAAAATTTCAGCTGTGAGTGGACTGGTTGGCCAAGGATTGGAACTGACCCTTAGCACTGTTTTTCACACACTGACACTTTCCATTTTACTTCATTTTAATGGACGGGTGTTGCCTCACTTGGTTTGGGCATGGACAGACATGGACTCCTTAGCTACATTTGTCTTCCAAGGTGCACAATAAGTTGATGCACATAAGTTATTGAAACGTGGAAACTGCCATTGGGTTTTACTCTATAAGCAAGCGATTCCTTGCCCAGACCTTTTTATATCGTATCCCTTATTTGGGGCTGGGTATAACCTCAGCGAAAAAACTAACGAAGACGAAAATATTTTTGTTTCTCTCTAGTCTGTTAAGTTACACGGAACAATATGTAGAATATGACCCATTTCTTGTGCCACCTGACCCTTCTAACCCATGGCTGTCTGATGATACTACTTTCTGGGAACTTGAAGCAAGGTATGTGACATGTTCTTTTCTCTCCAATTATTTCACTTATTTCAGGTTTTGGGTAACATAACTGATCATGGTAAGGCTAATTTTACTCTGTGTCTCTATTAGCCCGTGATATAAAGTTCTTGTTCAAGGTAATGGTTTTTAAACCTTAAATACTTGCATTTGTGTTCAGATGCACATTGCCAGAGGACTGGCACAAAATTAGAGGTACAGGAGTTTCAGGATAGATTATTCAGAGTTGGGCTCTTCAGTTCTTGAAATTTAGCTCATGGGTTTTGCTTCTTTGAAACTCCGCATAGCCACACAGGCCCCTGTATTCAAGCAAAATGATTGTTAAATCCATACTTATTTAAGCACAATACAGGTATGGCTCTATCCATTCAATTTTAAAACAAAATGAACTTGCCATTAACACCCTAAGAGAATCTGACAAGATACTGACGTCTTAAGAAAACCAAAGCACAATTTAAGATTCCCTGGTTTCCTTCATGACCTGTATAAGGGAAGACTTATATCATCAATCTTGACAGAGTCATGAGGAGAGCAGTGCCTATCACTATACAGAGTGAGGATTTCATATCCTATGGCCTTTCTCTAGACTGTGTTTATGGACTTTTTCTTTCTTTTACCTCCAGACAGTGTTCTTAAATGCTTGACAAGTGCAGGCTCTTCGTCCATAAGGTCTAGATTTTATACATGAGGAATTGGGGCCCCAGAATGTTGTGATTCAGCCAGGGTTAGGTCACACATTTCATCAACAACAAACTCATAACTAGAATTTAGGCCTTTTGGTTCCCAATGCATTTTCCTCCAGTACAACATACCACCATGAGACTCCACACTATACGCTGGTTAAGAAATTGTGCTTTGAGGTGAGAATGTCTAGAATATTGCCCCTTATTACGTGTCATACATTGGCAAGTTAAAACCCTCTTTGTGCCTTGATTTCTTCATCTATAAAATAAGAATTATAATAGTACCTGTCTCAAAAGTTGCAGAAAAGAATCTAAAAGAATCCCTCTAGAGCACTTAGTGCCTAGGCTTGATAAAGATTAGACTGTTGTTAATGCCTAATGTATACTTCACTATGATTTCGTGCACAGCCATCGATCACAGATTTTTTTTCCTGAAAGATATGTTAAAGATGGGAACCTCAAGATATATATGATTTTGAGGGGAGATGTAATAGCAGAAGACAGAATTGGCATGAAAAGAGTATATTTTTCCTCATTTTATCTCCTATAGCAAAGAACCAAGTCAGCAGAGGGTAAAACGATGGGGTTTTGGCATGGATGAAGCATTGAAAGACCCAGTTGGGAGAGAACAGTTTCTTAAATTTCTAGAGTCAGAATTCAGCTCAGAAAATTTAAGGTAAGACACATTGTTTGTATCCTATTCTATGTCAGAGAGACTTACTGTGATATGGCTGGTTATTTTGCACCAAATAGATCAGTTACCCTCGTACCAACATGATGACAAGATGAACGCATTGAATTTCTGCCTCCTGATGGAGGGACAAGGGTAACAAAGGAAAGCCTATCCAGAATTATTAGTTCCTTATAATGGTTTATTTTTACATTACCTCTTCATCTATTAAGTATATAAGTGTGATGCATTTGAAATGGACTCCATAAAGAAGTATAATACCTGAACTAATGTTTGGCAAAGTGAAGAATGGCCAATAATATTTATGAAGTTAAATTATCATTATTTATCAGTATTGGTCTTCTTAAAGTAAGGTCTGGGTGCCTATTAAAAATAACTTGAAACAACACTGTGGGGCAGTTCATGCACTTGGCACATTTAAATATAGCTTCAGGACAGTTGAGGGCCGCACCACACTGAGCTGTTAGTAGGAGAGGGGTGTGCATTCCACGCATCTGTTGTATGCATCATCCTTACATATTTTTGAATTTTTTCAAACTTAAGAGGCACCTGGAAATTGAATTTTTAAATGTGAGACACTGCAATAGATTTTAATGGCTCTTTTTAAGATCACCAAAGTGAGTGATAACTTTCCACTGCATAAAAATGTTTTTCCATGAGCTCTTTAATTCATTATTCTTTTGAAAATGATACCCTAATTTACTTTCCCATGACTTATGCGGTCCTGTGGAACTCATTTATGGTAAGGTCCCAGCATTCATTTATTTTCATTGGAACTCTGCAGCTCCAGGCATTGTCACATTCTTTACAGATGATTTAACAGATACCAATACCAAACCATTCAGAAGCATGTAGAACTTTGACAGATGTCCTATGGTTGAAGCAAGATGATCACAGTTGGAACCTGGAATAATTTTATTATATATGCATGCCTGTCATGAATTGTTGGGATGCAGCCTTCTATTCATTCAAGTTTGTGCAAACCCATCTTGGGAAGGCTTTTAGAAGATCTACACTGCTAAGGATTTTTTTTTTTATCAAGGTCACATCATCAATTATTGAGTAAAGGAATGCATAAAAAAATATAGCAGAGATAAAAGATATTTTTAGCCTTTTAGCAGATGGGAAGATGGAATTTCCTCTAGTTCTCTAAGTTTTTAAATAAATGCCAACATCAGGGGTATCATGATGAAAAAGTAAACAAGAAATGGGGCACCTGGGTTGCTCAGTCAGTTAAAGGTCCAGCTCTTGGTTTTGGCTCAGGTCATGATCTACAGTTTGTGAGATCAAGCCCTGCATTGGGCTTCACGCTCACAGTTTGGAGCCTGCTTGAGATTCTATCTCTCTCCCTCTCTCTCTCTGCCCCTCCCCTGCTCGTGCTCTCTCCCTCTCTCAAAATAAGTAAAAATAAACTTAAGAAATAAACAAGTAATAAGCCTGGCCAGTATCACCTAACCAAATAAAAATGGTTCCTGATCTCATTAAAACTACAGCCTAGTGGTGGATACAGAGAACAAAGATCACAACACAAAATCGTGGTTATTTAGATCTGAGAAGTACAGAGGGATAGCTAACCTAGAGTTGGAGGTCAGCAAAGGCATCCTAGGGGAAATAGCTTTAGGCTGTGGTTTGGATGTCAAGATATAACCAGCCAAAACGTAAGAAGAAAGAAGCTCTGGGCAAAGGAAATAGTGGCAACTGTGTTTGTTTCATGAATGAATTGAATCACTGCTGATTCCTTAGTTCAAACCTTAACCATTTCTTATGTCAATAATTTTATGCCATACTAGTTTTCTTTTTTTTAATTTTTTTAATGTTTATTTTTGGGAGAGAGAGAAAGAAAGGGGGGGGAGGGGCAGGGAGAGGGAGAGACACAGAATCCGAAGCAGGCTCCAAGACTCTGGGCTGTTAGCACACAGCCTGACGCAGGACTTGAACTCAGAAACTGAGAGATCATGACCTTAGCTGAAGTTGGACACTCAACCGACTGAGCCACCCAGGCACCCCTACCATGCTAGTTTTTCATCTAAGTCATTTCATTTAAGAAATATGACATATTTAATATATTTTATGTTCTAATCATATCCATACTGTTATAAGTATGCCATGGTATATTTAGTGTTCACTCTTTCTGATTATCAAACATCTAATCACCACAACAAAAATGAAATTTAAACATTCGTGCCCCATTTTCCGATAAGCAAAATATGTCTGAGGGAGGCTAAGCATCTTGTCCGAGTCAGATGGGCTAGTAATTGGAATCCTAGGCTTTCTAAAAGCCAATAGAGGCTATACTCCACTGCTCCCCAAATCCGAGCCCACTGTTTCTGGTATCACACACTGAGGAAGAAAGAATAGTCCAGTTGTCCAGGAGGGCTAATTGAGCTTAAGTTAGTCTCAGTTTGTCTTATCAAGCAGCTGCCTGTAAGTACCTGCTCTTTACAGAAGCATGACACTCCTATGTTCTTCCAGAATTAAGACAGGAAAAAAAAAAAAAGTCAAGAAATACTGTTTATTGATAACTTATTCCTTAAATATAACCTCTGCTGTCCATTGGTGTGTTTTTTACTCATTCCCTTTTCAGGTAAAACATGCAGCAAAACATAGTGGAAGTACTAAGGAAATATAGTAATATGAGTTTTATTGTTGAGTGTCTAAAAATGTGTCAGGCACTCAGAAGTGCCTCTTACATAATTTATCTTGTCATCTAATGGAAACCTAGTGAGATAGACATTATTATCCCATTTTACTGATTAAGAACTCAAGACTCAAAGACATTAAAACACTTACTTCCTCATATTCCAGCTACCATATATTAAGGTTGATGGGATTTTACCAGTGCCCTTTCCATTCTACTGAGTTATTACAACATCTACAGTAAGGCCGAGAATAAGAAAGGTGATGATGTGGGGCACCTGGGTGTCTCAGTTGGTTAAGGGTCCAACTTTGGCTCAGGTCATGGTCTCACAGTTCATGAGTTCAAGCCCCACATCACGCTCTGTGCTGACAGCTTAGAGCCTGGAGCCTGCTCGGATTCTGTCTCCCTCTCTTTCTTCCCCTTTCCCACTCATTCTCTGTCTATCTCCAAAACAAATAGACATTAAGAAAGAAAGAAAGAAAGAAAGAAAGAAAGAAAGAAAGAAAGAAAGAAAGAAAGAAAGAAAGAAAGGCGATGATGCTCTTAGGGACAGTTATGAGCACATCAACTGCTGCAAATTATCCAGGGGCAAACCCCAGCTATGACACTCATAGTGGGCAACCTTAAATAAGTGACTTAATCTTCATATCCTCAGTTTCCTTTTCTCAAAAATGGGGGAAATAATAGCACATACTCTAGTGCTGTAGAGATTGAATTAGTAAATATGACTAAACCACTTAGAATAGAGCCTGCACTTATTACTGTAAGTGTTCTTATTAATTTTTCTGTGTTTTCAAGTTTATTAAGATGTCACTGCATCTATATCAACTTTCCCTTACCAGCCCAGTGCTTTGCCCAGCAGAAGGCTTTTTCCTGCTTTGCACTCCCACACTATGTGGTTTGCCCTGTTCCTTGATAGCTGCTCCCGGGGTCCTAATGTTAGGCAGTTATTTGAATGGTGTACCTTTTTCTCTAGTGCTTCTTTGAGGACAGAAAAATTCTTTCAATTAAGGTGTTGAAAGCATGCTGGAATGGACTTGAATGAGCGTTCATTACAACATTTATGCTCCCTCAGATGGCAATTAGATTGCACAGTGTCCAAATCTCTTATTTTTGGAGGAAATAGTCTTGAGCCTTCCCTTCTGAAGACAATAACGGTGGTTTCATGTGTAAGGCGTTGTCCAAAATTGGACTATCTACTGTTACATATATCTACAGGAAAATAATCTCTAGAAACTGGAAACTCACTAGATGGAGTAGTATTTGATTTTCTAACTCTAGCTCAACTGCTTTATTACTTATTTCTGACCTTTCATTAATGCCCAAGTTAAAACTTAATAATTATGAAGGTTCTGTTTGTATGAAGGTTCTGTTTATAAAGGTCATATTGTACCTCTCTTAAGACTCTGTAGCCTGTAGTGAACTTTGTCTTTTGTCATTTTCCCATTTCATGACTACATATGCCATTAGGGTGATAATGGTCTATGTTGAGGGTAACATAGACCTAGTATGTTCCGTTTTCAAGTATTTTTTTTCATTTTAACAAATTATAGTGATATATATATAATATATATATATATCATATATATATTCTTTTTTTAAGTTTATTTACTTATTTTGAGAGAGGCAGAGGCAGGCCACGAGCATGGGAGGGGGAGAGAGAGAGAGAGAAAGAGAGAGAATCCCAAGTAGGCTCCATGCTGTCAGTACAGAGATTAACATGGGGCTTGAACTCACGAAACCATGAGATCATGACCTGAGCTGAAACCAAGAGTCCGATGCTTAACCAACTGAGCCACCCAGGCACCCGCCATCTTCATCTTTTCAACATTATTTCTAGTCCTAACCAAAATGATATAACACAGAGCAAAATTTAAAGAAATGAAACCTATTAATACAATGTGACCCTTTATTATTAGACATTGCTATTTGCTCTTAGCCAAAACATGTTCTGGTGGGTTTTTTTCCTTACAGCATATATATTCTATACAGAAGCATATAAAATATATTTACATATTTAGAAGAAAGTCAGTATTTGTTTTGTTTGTTTGTTTTCCAGAGCTTCTGAATTGCTTTGATGCCTCTGCAAATTTAAACCTTTCAAACAGTGGCACGTGAAAGCTTGTTGCTTCTGTCATTCCATAACTCTCTGAATTAAACAGCCTAAAATTAGTTACTTGCCCTGATTTCTCCAGCTAGGGCCTTTTCTGATCTTGTGTCCAGGCCTCTTTTTTTTTTTTTTTTTTTAACGTTTATTTATTTTGGGAGACAGAAGAGGCAGAGTACATGGTGAAGTGGAGAAAGGGGAGACACCTAGAATCGGCATCGGAGGAGAAGCAGGCTCAGGCTCTGGAGCCATCATCAGCCAGAAACCTTGACAGCCTTTCGAACCCACAGGACCGTGGAATGTCCGGAAGGAGGAGAGGCCTGAGGCAGTGGGACCCCTAACTGACTGAGCCACCCAGGCGCCCCTGTCCAGGCCTCTTTTAATTCCAGTAAAGCTTCGCTGTGATTCCCTTGCCACGTAGAGCAGAAAATCCTCTCCATACTAACTCTCATTGCTCACATGGACAACAGATTCAAAGAATATAGTACAACGCACTGCTTTATCCCCCAAGCAGATGCTCTGTGTCATTCACTCTAATTCCCTACAATCTCCTCTTCCTCTCTAATAAATGGTTCTTTAGTGGTGCTATTTTGCTGTAGTAAAAATTAAAGTTGTGAAGAATCAGGGCTCTGGGAGATCTGCTTTCAATAGCAAACACTTAAAAGAGATTGTTTTCAATATTTCCTTTTGAAAACATTTATACTTTTGAATACAACTAATGAAAAAAAATTCAGTAAAGGCCATATATTGGAAGCCCTGAGAAAAAAAAGGAGTTTATTGTTATGCATTATTGTGAATTGTGTGATCAGTCAATATTATAAGAAGTTGCAAATTATGAGGCATCACTGTAAATGCTTGGTGTCACATTTTCCATAGATTCTGGCTAGCAGTGGAAGACCTGAAGAAAAGGCCTATTAGAGAAGTCCCTTCCCGAGTTCAGGAAATATGGCAAGAATTTCTGGCTCCTGGAGCTCCCAGTGCCATTAACTTGGATTCTAAGAGCTATGATAAAACCACACAGAATGTGAAGGAACCTGGACGATACACATTCGAAGATGCTCAGGTTGGTATATGGGTGGGCCTCACAGTATGTCACAAATGTGTTCCTGGAAAATTGACGTTTGAGGTATTTCTGCTTTATTTTCATTGTAATTGGCAGCTAGACTTAATATTTTCAATTTAGGTAACTGTATGTAAAATAATTCCAATTGATTTGGAAGAAAAGAGAGACACATTAAAATGAACAGTTTCTGAAGCTTGGGAATGTTTTATAAATTTGAATGTTTTTATGTGAACATTTCTTAAAGAGGAATATTTGAAATATTTGAACACTTTTACTTCATTTTTCTACTTCATCTCCCAATATGCGAGAAAAACACTTATCTAATGATGACCTCAGCTCAGTAACACATAGTTGAAATCTTTAAGGTATCTTCCAATGTGGAGATTCTAAGATGCTGACATTCCTAAATTATTCATCATTATGAATAGTCAGAGCTAAGCTAGAGTAGGTTACAGTTATGTCACACTCAAGCCAGTTTTGTCTCTTATGATACAATGAAATAATACAATTAGGCATATGAAATTTCCCAAGTTAAGTTTTTAATCTGTGAAAAGGAAAAAAGGAAATTAATATTAAGATATTAATATCCTAAGACAAATATTTAGATTTTTTTTCCTCAAACTGGGCACAGTTGCCTCCTTAGACACAGTCTGAATTTTTCCTTCTCTAAAAAAATATTGTGCTCAAGAAGAAAAGTAAACTTTTGGGTATTATTTTCCTAATGATATGCTGTAATTGGCTTTTTAAAAAAAATTTTTAATGTTTATTTATTTTTGAGAGAGAGAGAGAGAGAGACAGAGCATGAGCGGGGGAGGGGCAGTGTGAGGGAGACACAGAATCGGAAGCAGGCTACAGGCTCCGAGCTGTCAGCACAAAGCCTGACCCGGGGCTTGAACTCATGAACTGTAAGATCATGACCTGAGTCGAAGTCAGACACTCAGCCAACTGAGCCACCCAGGCGCCCCTGTAAATTAAATTGGCTTTTAAATTGGAACATGCATACATCTTAATTTCTTAAACCTCTTCAAAAGAAGAATATTAGTTCTAGAAAGTATCTTGTTTTTCAAATAACAATATTACTAAAATAAAATCTAGAAGATTTTAAAATCTAAAAGACCTTATTTTCACTCCCGGTGGAAAGTACATTTCTCCTGGCTTTGGTCTAAAGAAACGAGCCATCGTATAGAAAACTAACACAGGTTGAGATAGCTAAACAGACACCCATCTTTGCTTTCCCATGGCCTTCTATGTAGAAATAATTATAGACACATGCAAGAGAGCAGGATGAAAATTATAGTCCTGTTGCTTACTTCTCTGTGGATTTATCTTTCTTTCAGCTCAAGATAAAATTTCAAGCATTTTTCTAGAGCCAACAATATGTAAAATGTTTGAAATGATCTCCCTGAAGTCTTAAAAAGAACATTTCTTTGTTATCTGTGGCATTAAAAATATTCTTGCTTAATAGGTCTTCAGTAAAATGAAAAGGCATAATTTTCTATAGAAAACATTACCACCTGACCCTGGGCTTCTTTTTCAGTTAAGCTCAGATATTTAACTCCAGTTGTTGATAGGTTTTTTAACCCCATCCTCAAAAATATAGTAATGAAAATTCCTGCCATTTTTTGAGAAAAGAAACAGTGTAATGATTAAGAAAGCAGACTCTAGAGCCAAATTGCCTGGGTTCTAGTCAAAGCTCTGTGACCTTCTTCATATTTAAAATGGGTATAATAATGGTTCCCATCCTCACTGAAGTTTTGTGAGGATTAAATTAACTAATACAGGCAATCACTAGAAGTGTGCCTGGTATATATGCAAGTATATCTGAGCACTTACTATGCATACCCCCCTACTTTGCTAAATATATATCATTCCTTTAAGCCTCACAACAACCCTATTGTACAGAGTGGAAAACTAAGGCTCAGAGAGATGGGATAATTGACCTAAATTTACATGTTTGTAAGTGGCAGGTCTCGAGCAAGATAAGATCTGAAACCTTCAGTGCTTGACTCCAAAACAAGACCTCTCTCCACTTTTCCAAGAACAAATTCTGACAGGGTCTTGAATGTACCATACTTTTGGAGGTGAGCCTTGGGCTAGATATTGAGTGAGAATAACTCCAAATCATAGCAGAGAGGATTTTCTGCTCTACGTGGCAATGGTGTGTTTGGGACTGGGGAAACCGAGTCATTTCCTAAAATATATTTTTTTCTGCAAACAAAAAGAGATTGGGACATCCAGGATACTCTCTACACCTAACTGATTTTTCACTAGACTAGAAAGAGGAAGGAGCATTTATGCTCCGTTGAACTTCAATAGGCCAGACCAGAATCTCCCTAGATGGGGCTAACAACTGAATGGGATGAATATATTTTTTTCCTTGACTTCTTTGTCTATCAATATTCATCATCATAATAGGACATTGTGGACTGATTATAGGTTTAAATTATTAAATATTTACCTAATCTGTCACTGAAGGAGGTTTTTTTTAATGCATACAAATTAGGAGATTTAGCAATTAAATATCACAAAATATTTCTTGGATTTGTGCTCTGGCCCAAAGTGGATGTGGATGACATTTTTTTAATATAATTTGTACCGAAGAGATGATTCATCTGGGCAGTCTGCATCCTCCAAGTAGATAGCTAGTGTGATTACTGAGTCTTGACTTCATATCATTCACTTTTGGCCTGGAGTAATTTTAAGAGATAGTAGATTTATTTATATTCTCAAATGACCTATATAAATCAACAACTTGATTTGAAATAACTTCATGACCTTCCATTAACTGAATTCCATGTTTTTCAAGGACTGGGTATGATTTGCCTCCTCTGTAGCTCTCAACCCAGTTTAAATATTGATCATGAATAAAATTATAAATCTGAAGATTCATATGTTCTGTAAACACAAAGTATTCTCATCAACATTATCATTATTAATTTTAGCTGTTTCCAGATTTGTTTTGAACCATACCCTGTATTCTTGACACAGGATTTGATTTTCCCTGAGAAACAATAAAGAAGCGCTTCAACCATTATTTCTTTTTAGGAGCACATTTACAAATTGATGAAAAGTGATTCATACCCACGTTTTATAAGATCCAGTGCCTATCAAGAGCTTCTACAGGCAAAGAAAAAGGTATTGGTTCTTTGTGACCTTTTTCAATCTGGTTCTCAGTTATAATTGTATGGAGTAGTTCCTTCTACTGAGGCCAGGGTATTGGACAAATGGTAAGTGAACACACTCCAAGACCTTCCCCAAACCTTTGTGTTTTATAAGGGCCATCTGAGATGTTTTTGTTTTTGTTTGTTGATTGCTTATTTTCTTTTTTGTTTTGTTTATTTCTGCAGATGTTCATGCTTTACAACGTTTTTTAGAACCTGTTTTCATGTTTCATGTTAGTCTCTTGTATGGCCAGTTTATGGATATAAAAATATAAAAAATTAAAATTAATGAAAAGGAAAGAATAACATCATTAGGTCAAAAACTCGAAGACGGTTTGCTTTGTCCAGGAAGCTTGAGTGTAAGGATTTGGCCACATACCCCATAACCAAATATAGACTTATTATTTTCAATGATAGTTGCCAAAATGTAGTTATGTTCCATTCAAACTATCTTAATTTGGCATTCATCCTGGATTACTTAGTATCCTGATGGTGAACTTTACACACCTAACAAGGTAGCCAAACACATTTTGGAAGAGCTGCAATAGACCTCATTATTCAATTAAAGTTTATAATCAATGTAATCATTAAGGCAGGGTATGGAAAATCTGAATATAAAAATTGAACATCATTCATTATTTTTTAATGTTAAAATAGTCCATAGCTTCCTGAAACTTTTGAGATGAAATTATAATTTTGTGTAATTCATGACTGTCATTTAGGCTAATAGGATTTTTTAAAGTCAATTGCCTTTGCCAATAAATACTCTGTACTTGCCCTGTTCAATACAGCAGCCACTAGCCACATGGGGTTGTTTAAATTTAAATTTAAATTAATTAAGAGTACATAAATTCTAGCCAGATTTCATGTACTCAATGGCCTCAGCTTCTGAAATATTGGACAACATAGAATGACATTTCCATCCTTTCAGCAAATTCTATTGGACAGCAATGCTTGACAGAATTGACATAATCAACAGAAATCTAGTCCTAACAGAAAAGTATGAAGAAATTCTGAAGATATTCCACTGATTTTCAAATATGTAGGCTTTGCAAATGTCAACGTAAAACCTTCATGAATCTACTTCATTTTAGTGTCATTTGATTTTGCCTTGAAATCATACCATTTTGTTTGCACAGGAAGAGTTTTGGTGTTAAAAATAGAAGTTCTAATAAAAAAGAGCCTATGTCCTGTGTCTAGCGTCCTTCCTTGGCAGCTTTCCTACCTTCCCGGTCCCTGTGACTTAGAACATGGATTTGGCATTGCCTCCTTTCATCATCCTGTCTCTTTATGCTGTTTTCCTTGCTTTCTTTTTATTTATGTTCCCTATTTCCCTTTGCCACACCCACCCCATTCATGTAAGTCGGAACACTCAATGGATCGCAGAACATCTTTTGAGAAATTTGCACAGAATGTGGTAAGTTTTCTTTTTTTTTTTTTTTTTTTTTTTTTTTTTTGGAGGCATTACAAATCATTAAGTCTAATTGGGAAATTTTCCCAATTCCTAGCCCCATCACTCACCTTTCATCCGTTGATGTAACAAAAGTATTGTCTTTATTCGAACTCAGAACTTCTGCTTCCTGCTTATCTTTCTGACCCAGCTCTTTCTAGAGTAAAGATGTCATCCGTAAGAAACCATTTGTGTCAAACTAAGGTTTGGAAAGAAGTATATATTATGGCATAGAAAATGAAGAAAGTATCTCTTATGTATTTTTATTTTCATTCCATGTATCCCTTTCTTTCTTAAAGATAGTGCATGCATTTCTACATGCTCTTTCTCTTAGCCCTTCCTAAGGCTTTTTTATTTTTTTTTTATTTTATTTTTTTTATTATATATGAAATTTATTGTCAAATTGGTTTTTTAAAAGCTAAAGAACATGAGGGTTCTGTGCTTTGTACTTCTGCAGAGAGAAAATGGCCTAATGAGCAGTTTAAAGCCAAAGACTTGGTATGAATGGTGGTTGGTGACAAGATATGCCCACCAAAGACCCACCAGCATGCCTCTCTTATGCTTTGTGTTTTGGGAAGGTGTTGAAAACTTCATTGTGAATCATCCAAGAGAACGAGTTTTGGAAATTCCACTGTTTCTTAATTATCTTGCCATGTGTTTTGGTGATATTTTGGTGGTATATTTGTATGTGGGATTCCTTTTTTTTTTTTTTCTGTATTGTGCCAGTGCCTTTGCAACTTTCTGACGTTGTGTAAGCTCAAACTAAAGCCTTCAACACATTTATTTTTATAGGGCAGAAACATCCCTATTTTCCCATGCCATAAAAACTGTACACCAACACTGAGGGCCAGCACTAACCTGTTATGAAAAAGAGGTAGAACAATCTTGGTTTATACTCAAGTTTGTCTGCATTGTCTGTTGAGTTGTGTGGTTAGCTCCATGCTGCTGTGTGTGTGTGTGTGTGTTGTGGCTTTTGCTGTGATGGCCAGTTAAGTGGAGTTATGTGTGTTGAAATGTAAGCAAATTGGATTCAACAAAGATGCTGTTTTTGTTTTTAGTTTCCGTCAAATATCTTTGTGGTGGGGAATGTTAATCAGTTCTATTTATGAATTGCCAGTTGTGACTAGGAACAGAGTATTTGAAAGACTTTAAAAAGCTGTATATACTTTGAACAGTCAATGTGATTGCAAAAATTAAAGGGCTGGAAAATGAAGAACTCTAGGAATTAATCACTCAATAAACTTCAAAAAATGTTGGCTGGTTCTGTTGGAATCTCTGACCTTTAAAATAAAATTTTCCTAACCATGCCTCATAAGTCATCATGGGAAGATAAAGACAATATTTTTTAAAAAGCCTCAAGATTTTGCTGGAGAAAGTAGCTGTAGGCTGTTGCACGGTGCTCTGTGCAATATTTAATAATTCTTCCAAATTCATCCTTTCCTAACATGATGCTGAAATAATATTGTTCTAAAGATTGGAATGGAATTTTCTTTGATATGATTACAAGCAATAACACAACATATGGAAGATGGAAAAGGGAAACAAAATAGTTGTCTTTCCTCCAACACCATCCCCAATTCTGACCTACTTCTCCAACTTTTAAAATAGTCCCACGTTGTCACACACTGCAAACTTAAGAAAAGATCAATAGGAAATAAGGGGAAGGCAAGCCTAATCATCTACGCCTTCAGTCAAAATTCATACAAGAAATGACAGTTATATTCCAGACATTGTGCTGTGTCTCAGGAGGGTGTATAAGGTAGATACCTTAATTGCTAAGGAATCTAATGGTATAAACAAGATGTTGTGATGCACAGGAGAAAGATAAACTTTTCTGCTTGGTGTTGGGGTGGGGAGGGAGCACCCACAGGTAATGCGAGAATTCCCAGAAGAAATTACATTTAAGTGCATTTCACTAGGACAAGAAGGACATCCATCCTTTTAAGGAGAAGGGGAGAAAAGGCTGGAATTACTGAAGAAAACGAGGTTGAGTCACATTCACACATATATACACACAACACACTAATAAATTACAGATAATCTTCAGACACAATTGTTTGGGGTTATTTTTTCCATCCAGGAAAACAAAAAGTAATATTTTTCATTGGATATTTTGTTTCAGTAGTACTCTAAAGAAATGGAATAAGGGAATTAGAAAGGCTCTCTGATTTCCTCAGTAGATTACAAACAATTGTATCTATTTTATTACTCATGAGAAGAAAGTTTCTATCCTGGCAATTATTTATATACAAAAATTAAAATTAATATACTATACAATATTAAATCTTAGGATGATTAGTTTCTATTTGAAGTTCCCTTTAACTCTTTCTATCCTCATTTCTTTTTTTTTCCCCTTGGTTCTGTGTTCCTCCATGTTTGTGATTACTTTTAGGGTCAGCAGGTGTGTTAGGAATCCAATGTACCTACATAATAAATTTAATAGGCTATCTTTACAGGATCAATACAATAATTCTAACACAGGATGAAAAATGATTTTATTATTAAGCAGGTAGACATAATGAAGGCAATATGGAGTTTAAATAAATATTTTAAAGGAGTCCTATGTGCAGATTAGTCTGGCAAATACAGGGAGGCTACGGGATAGACAGTATTCAAGGAAGAAACAGAAGAGGGAAAATATAGGTAAACAAGTATGTAGACTATGAAAGGGCCTGGGCAAAGTGAGATAGTAATGACTCCCCTTCTTGCCTTGTACCAGTCTCTGCACTAGGCACTTTATATTCTATAATTTAATATAATCTAACCCTGCAAGTTAGGTATTATTATACTCATTATGTTACCCATTTGATAAGTGAGAAAACTGAAGGGTCGGAGGAGGTACAAAATTTGCCCAGAATCACAGTTATTAGGACCTGGCACTGACCCCACATTTATTTTGTTCCCAAATTCTTTCTTTCCCCATTGATCGCCTTGCTCCTTCATACTCTTCCAACTGATAGAAGATCAGCCACCTGCCACTCCTCTAGAGTCTGAGTCCATTTCCAATTAGTATCTGTTTGTAGAAGTTTATTTACATGTTCTAACACAGTTACTCACAACCTGGCTTATAAAAATGGCATCACTGTTTTGTTTCACACAAGAATCAAAAATGTTTTGCTCGACAGTTCTTCCCAATACCGTTAAAACCTCTGTTGGTTGCTGAGACTAATAAACTCTTGCCAGCACCTTACAGAATAAACAGTTAACAGTTGCACAGCATTTTACAATGTTCCAAAGACACTCATTCTTTCTTGCTTGTTTTGTTGTCACTGTTGTTGACATATATGACAATCTGAGGAGGTGGTCGGGCAGGTGTCACCACCCTTTCATAGATGAGCAAATTAAGGAATAGCGAGGATAGATCACTTCACCAGTATCAATCAGTTGTTGAGAATTAAAGCCAAGACTGGAAGCAAAGTTTCCTGACTTTAAATTCACTCCTCTGTAGATTACTTATTTTCTTTTCATTTTGCCCAACACTGGAGGGTTAAGAATTAAATTTGTGTAATACCTTCACCTTGCCCTTGCTGTCTCAAGGCATCTCATTTCCTGTGATTTACTTTTTTATTACTTTGTTTTCCTTGCCATCAGATAAGACCTTAAGGGTAAGGTCTTTCAAGGTTTGCTATGTTCTGTCATGCCTTTAAATGTTATTCTTACTACGTAGGCATCATTCCCTTTGACAAAGTTCATGTGCTGTGCTAATTCTAACAGCTGTTTTCTTCCTCCATCACCATCACTAAATCTGACACCATTACTCCAACCACTAAAGTCTCATGGCATCTGTCTGCCACACAAATCACAAGGAGAATGGATAGGAAATAAGGGGGGAGGGGTGGGAAACTGGGTAAGAGGATTGATCGTCCACACCTTCAACCAAAACTCATATATCAAGTTCTGACTGTACTGCTTACCTCCTCTCCTTAGTTTGTGTGAAGGGGAAATTAAATCAGCCTGGCTCTGGGCTATAAAAGGAGAAATGAGAAATAGAGAATGTTCATGTTGAGCTCCCAGGAACTTGCCTAATCGAACCTCTTTTGGGGAGAAAGTTTACTCTATCTCAATGAAGCCCAGTATCTGCAGAGCCTTTAAAAGAATTGGCAGAAGGGGAGCCTGAGTGGCTTAGTTGGTTAAGTGTCCAACTTCAGCTCAGGTCATGATCTCGTGGTTTGTGAGTTCGAGCCCCGCATCAGGCTCTGTGCTGACAGCTCAGAGCCTGGAGCCTGCTTCAGATTCTGTGTCTCCCTCCCTCTCTCTCTGCTCCTCTCTCTCTCTCTCTCTCTCTCTCTCTCTCTCTCTCAAAGCTAATAAATAAAAATTAAGAAAAATTAAAAAAAAGAATTGACAGGATATCATGACCTTCTTGGCTGTCCCAACCCTGTGGCCCCAGTACTTATGCTAGTGCATTAGGCTTGGAAGGCATGCTCTGGAGATGGTCATAAATTACCAGAAGTTGTGAAAACTCTGTGAGAGAATTTTAACAAAAGCATTGAGTTGACTCTGAAATCAGTTAATCTTTTGGGATCAAATCTTTATGTAACACTATGATTGGTATGCGTACTGATAAGAACAAATGTAAATAAAATCCTGTAATTTCCTTGGAGTGTTAATAAGTGAGAAAGATAGAATACTTAGTTCTTTTAGAATGTCCTTTTTGTTTACATCTAATTAAATTTTTTACCTGAGCTCATTATGGAGATGCTGGGTAACACACCTCATGTATATTTAATATAAGCAACAAAATGAGGTTAAAAGAGCCCAGACCTGAAAGCTTGACATGTTAATATTTACATTTGAAACCTAATCCATGTTTTCGTGCCATATGAATTTTTAGAAACTGCTGAACCCCTGCTTCTTTATCTATAATCTCTCTAGCCAGGAATAGCTTTAGTTAGCACTTTGCACAAACATATATAAATGAATATAAGTATTCTTTATATAAATACATAAATAAATGGGGTTCTACATTAAATATGCTTTTGAAACATGCTTTGTTTGCTTAAAATGCATCACAAATATCTTCCAGGTCTTTTCATATTCTTCTACATAATTTTACTTATTGTCTACACAAATTTCCTCTGAATAGATATACTTGAAATTTATTTTCCAATCTTCTATTGATGGATATCTACATTGTTCCTTCTTTCTTTCTTCATATTGTAGATCAAAGTATGATAAATATCTGTCAAGTAAAATATTGGTTTTTTTTTCTTATGGTCATAAAAATTTTAATTGCTTGGTTAAACGGGATGCAAAGTTATAAAAGATGTTTACTTATTTATTTTTCCTCCTCTCTTATCTTTATATTTTCCCTAACACGAGAGCACACACTAGATGAGAAAATAACTGGTTGAAGAAGGCAGGAATCATACTTTGTATTCTTAATTTCAAAACTACTGTGTTACACATTAATAAAAAGTTGGTTACCATTTGGTCCTCAATCTATGAAGAATTGTAGTCACATTCTGGAAGTCTTTGACTGTTTTTTTTTTTTTTTTTAAGACACTGTCAAAGGCTCTATGGATTGTTTCTAGTCATGGTTAAATGATTTTTAATTTGGTTTTTCATCAAATGTGAAATCCAGCATAAAATCTCCACATACCCTAATAACCGCCAAGATTAGACATTGAGACCATTCAGTCAATTCAGTATAATCCTATGAATAATACAGATTCCGGGCTTGGGAAACACAGCCCCAGACTAGCTGTGGGGCAATGCCCGGAGTAGGGCAATGCAGTGTGAAATCTATTCATGTGGACCTCCCAACTGCCCATTGGACCGGACATTGGTTCCATTTAGGATTAAGCCCTGGCACTTCTGGTCGAGTGCCCTAGACTTTCCTTTGGGCTTACAGGTACCTTAAGTGC